ATTCTAGTTATATATATATATATATATATATACACAAGGAAATTATTGTCAACATCACATATTAAGAAAGCCAACTGTATATGATATGTTGGTAAGTTTATGTCTAAATGAGAATGATTACATGAGATCAGTTTGTAATTTCAAAATTCAAGACTATAAAAAGCACTGACGTACAGAATAGTCTATCTTTCATGATACGTCATACTTTTATACCCATTCCTAAAAAAGAAAGTATAGGAACTAGATAACAATTATTATCAATTACAGTTGAAAACTGAAGCATCAATTCTCATGAGCCTACTTAAATGAACAATAAAAACTGACATCCCACAGCCACTTGAAAACAGCAATTTTGAGCTTTTTTTTTTACATTAACTAGTACAATGATAAATATTTCTTCAATTAATATTCAACATCCTATAAAAATGTAGGTACACCCATGTAAAAAATTACACCTCATTACTGAGTGCTAAACATATTTTTTCCACAATACAGCATTTGTCCAATACACAAAAATTAATATATAACTCATAAAATCAAAATGACAGAATTCACAATAAATTGTTATTAAAGAAGAATTACAGTAAATAATGGACATATAGTTAATAAATACCTAGTTTAACAGACTGAGTGGAGAACTTGAGAAACATTTAGCAGCTTATATGACTGTTTTTATTACATCATAAAGAGAGAAAATTGACAAAATATACAAGAAAAATTCTAAATCTATGAATTTCAGTCATAATTTTATTTTGTAAATGTTTGAAGGGAAAACTCAGACAGAAATTCTTAAAACTTCATGACGTTTGTTTGTAGTTAAGCACAAAGCTACACAAAGGGCTATCTGTGCTCTGCCCACCACATGTATCGAAACCCGGTTTCTAGCGTTGTAAGTCTGCGGACATACCACTATGCCACTGGGGGGTACTTCACGATGTTATTTGCCCTCATAAAAAACACAAGATAAGGGTTGGACAGGGTTAAATAACACATTGTAAATTAATGTTTTCAATAATCTGTTGTTCATAAAATTCAAACTCTGACATACAAATTTAGTTTTATGATATTTATAACATACTTGTAGCTGAAGAATACTGAAGTTAGGTCGAACAGGACACAAGGCCCAGCTTTCATTTTCAAGGAACATTCTCAGTTCCTCCATACAGCCCCTGTACAAGAAAAAATAAAATAAACATTTGAAATTTAAACTATTATACACTTATGGATATTGTGTATCAAAAATAAAATTATATTCTGAAAAAAAAAGCATCATACAAGTTATGGATCATAATCAAACATCACCAAAATTACCAGTTACACATTCCATTATTAACCATCTATTCACAGGTTCAGTCAAATTAACTGATCTTTGTCTGTAAAGCTATACAAAATAATTTTTACTATAACTCTGAATTTACGAAGTGTGTCTTCATGAAATTTGGCAAGCTCTTAATAAACATTACAAGTTTGTTGTACACAAAAAAATCAGATTATTTAATACAGTTTTATTATTTAATTTGTATAATCTCTAGAATCTCCTAAATGAATTTCAAATGTTTTCTTTCTAGTAAAGTTATATATTTTGCCTCTTATTTTCTCTACCCTAACACTAATATACTTGGTTCTCAAGTCAGTAGAGAAATCGTTAATGTACAGAAAAAAAATATGAAATAAAATGAGTAATATCATTCTTAGTCTAAACCAACTTCGGTATTGTTCAGAAAGTTCCAAGTTACTTATCTTGATAATTTCAACTCAACTGCTAAACTTTTCAATCTGTTTTCACTTACGGTTTTATTGCAGTACTTTGTACCAACCGAGGCAGTAATTCTCATGTCAACAAAGCAATAAATTACAGCGAGAGTAATTAGCTTTTCAGGCAGGTATAACATAAACAAAATATGAACTTACATGGTAATTCAAGAAATATGCATTACTTGTGAGATTTTAGATGTTTTATGTAACTATAGTTTTGTTAGACTAGCCCGAGAAGGTTATAAGTTTTACATTTTAGTTAATTTTTTTAAAAATATAGTATTTGCTGCACTATCAAACTGGCTTGCACACTTTTGCAAATCTGAAGCAGTTCATCTTTAAGCCTCATTGAGTCTTATAAGTTTATGCGTCCAAAATTATTAACCCTATCGCCACAGGCATCCTTTGCTGCGCACAACACAAGGTTTTCGTGTCTTACATTCAAAATTTATTAAACTACCTTTTGTTTATGTTATACCAATTAGAATAGCACAAAATCTTAGCTAATAATCCATATTTTAATAGTATATAAGTGTTAAGTTCTTCATTCTACAAGGCAATACTTTAAAAAATCCTGAATTTTCTCTTAGTACGTCATCTTCCCTATTTTATCCACTATCCCTCAAAAAAGTACAAAATTAAATGTAAATTACTCTCTATAAAATCGTCATTGTTCATACAAACCAAAATGTTTATAGTCTTCAATTTTGTTTGGTTGTAGAGCTATGAAATAGAAAATTAGACCCCTCCTATCACATCCTCTCTTTCATAATTCGTTGATAGTTCTCTCTTACATTTAATTATATATTACCTATAACCAATAGAAACTCAAGGTTTTCATCTATCAAATGACATATTGTATAACATTATATTCTGAACGGTTAAATGTAAATTTCACTCAGAGTTCCAACATCGTTCTCATGGGAAAGTTAATGACTAATTTGGATGAATTTGTAATGACTCTTATCGCAGAGTTAGAAAGCCAGAAAAATTTTGAGAGGTAAGGGAATTTGTCTACTTTTTTGCATGCTATTAGTCAATATTATTTGATGCATTATATAATTAACTAAAAATTATTAAATGCATTACTACCATTAGCATAAAAAAATTAGGGTTAACTATCTTCGACAATCAAGAGCAAGAAAAAAGAAGATTCATTAAGAATTTTATTTCTTGTTTTTCATGTTTATTCTTTATTCATAAATATAAAAGAAACTAAAATGTAAAAAAGAGGAATCCTTTTAGGTTAGTTAAGATTAGGTAAAATAAATAATAATAATATTATAATAAAAATGTTTCACAAGGCACACGTGTGAGCAGCTCGTGGGTAATGTAATTCGTTATTGTAACATGAGCTGCATGTTCCCCAAGTGATTTACAACTTAATGGTGCGGATAGCAGTTAGACACAGTTCAAAGGGCAATAAAACAATAACAAGGGTAATTTAGATTTATTTCAATCATTTTTTGGTAATTATGAGGTCGGTCAATTTGACCGATCCAGTGTTGAGATAGGTTAGAGAAAATAACAGATAAACTATAAAGTTTTACTGAAAAAAAAAACACGTTTGAAATGCATTTAGGAGGTTTTGGGGATTACACAAAGGAAATTTGAGATTTTTGAGATTTGGAAAAGTATTTTCAATTTTAACATGAAAATTACTTTGCACACAGACTATTTACAACAAATACACAATATATTCATGGACAAATCTTTATTCTGTTTTATAAAAAATACTTCATAAAAAATATATGATTTTTTGTATCTGAAAGACTTATAATATTAACTGAAAGACTGCCATATTTTGTGAAGATATACACATTATATTGAAAGTTGGAAGTATGAAATTTATAAAGACTTTAAACAAGTACAAAGAGGTCACATGGTCAGCCAAATTGACTGAGCCAGTGTTGAGAGTTAATGTAGCTCTCAAATATGCATTTTAGAACACAAATATATATTAGCCACTAGAATAGAATGTCCCAAAACTACAATAATTTATCTAGCTTTCTGAAGCTATAAATAGGTTATAAAATCCTGTTAACCATTCAGAGCATCAAAACCACAATTATACAACAAGATATTTCTATCAATTAAATATCCCCCCCTCAAGTTCAAAGGAACAGATGTAAGCTTAATATAGATAAGAATCTGCTCTTTATATTGATTATAAACATTTCCATCAGCCCTGTAAAGTTGGTTAACTAACAACCTTGAAAGTTAACAGAGAAAGAGGAGGGGTTTCTCCAGTCAGTTTGACACACTTATTTGATATCTCAACAAATAAAGAAGGTAGTTGTTCAATTTTAGATTCTAGCTTGTAACTATGTATAATTTGTGCTTCTAATTGGTTGAAAACTGGAGCATCCTTTTTGAAGTTAGAAAACTCTCGAAGTGAGAATTTGTAGCTCAGATGTGTCATATGAAACAGAAAAATGAAGCTTGAAAAAGTTTAAAAAATATCTTTTTGAAATTAACAGGTTAAAACTTATATAATATAAAGATGTGGGTTATAAGCTACGTTTTCATGCCAAATAAATTGATGTATATTGATAATAAAGTGGTTTAAATAAATTTTGAATGTAGCACTGTAAAATAGCTACGCCTGGATAGAAAGGATTAACTGTTAAAAACTAATCTTTGATTAGCTTTTTTGCTGAAAAAACTAATATATTTACCTGTGATAATTCCTGAAGTAGTTAACAGATTGTTTTCTTAATGACTCTTGCAGATCTTCAGACTTACTATTACAAAACTCTTCACCAATGTCTATCAACCTGAGAGAGAGAGAGAGAAGCTCTGATTAAATCAATACAGGTAAACTTCAGTGTCAAAACAACTGATTGTGGTAATTTTTATTAAACAAGAAGTAAAGTAAACTCACCTTCTCACTAAATCTAGAATGTGTATGAATTCATCAAATTTAAATGATGATAGATCAGAGGCTAGAATATAGGTTTTGACCTTCTGTTGCACATCTTGCCATATACGAAGGAGTCCGTGTTCTAGTTTCTGTCGGACATACTGGTGTGTAAGGTTCACCTCCGTACCGGCATTCACTACAGTTTTTGTAAAAAGAATAAGATTATTTATTTTAAAAAAAAGATAAATAAATCAAATTTTTTGATTAATGATTTACAAAAAAATATCTGTAAATACAATAATATTTTAAAATAAATGCAAGCCAACTAGTTTCATGTCCCAGTAGAATATACCTGAATTTTGAAAATCTGAATGTTTTAACATTTGTGAAGAGGATAAAAGTTTGAATACATAATCTATTCTTCACAAAAAAAATTATACATTTTAATTAACCCTCTAGATTCAGGTGAGTCAAAGTACACGTCACAACCTTTTTAGAGAGTTACATTTAAAATTTCATTAAACAACTTTATTAAGAATGTATTTCAATAAACTTGGCATCAAAACGTAGTTTATAATTCCAATTTTAACTCTTTCAATACGGGGTCAGTCAATGTGAGGACCTCGTAACAATTTTGTGCTTGTTATAGTTTTCATGCTATAACTTTCAAATTAGTAAGTAAATGTTAACGAAATTTGGCAGATTATCAGTAAACATTACAATGCTTTCATACACATTTCATTTTAAAGTTTATTAAGCAATGTTTTTCTTGTGTCTTTTCTTTCTTTTCACATGTTGCCTATCTATCATGCAAAGTGATATTTTAAGATTAAAAATACCTTTATGCATCTTTATAATGTTGAGATAGTTATCAAACGTTTCTTAAGAAATAACTTTATATTTTATCTGTCATTTTCACTATGAATCTCTGTACGAGTTTGGTAGATTTGACCACAATCTTGCAACCACCATAAAAAATTAGGAAATATGTATATATTATGCCTCTTTCATTCTAGAATAAACATAAATTATAACACGAAAACATAAATGTTTAGACAAAATAGCTTAAATCTCATAACATTATATATTTATTATTTTTATTATACTGACCTTTCAGCCATGCCTGACTAACAATTCAGAAGTTATAACAATGAGGCTCATGTGCACTCATGTTATTGTATCAAATAACGTAAAACTGACCTTTGGTCTGTGCAAAGTAGGTTGTCTTGGCTGTGTTTTAGTAGACTAGTATTTTGTAAAATACAGTCAAATTTCAATTATTATACATTATATATGTATATAGATTATTGCTATTTTGAAATAAGTTCTTAAACATATTTTTCCTAAAACATGGAACAGTAACTAAAGAAGTAAAGCAAACTATTATCTCTTCTAGTTATGACCTTTGTACTCGATTGCTGCTTGATGTAGGTTGCTAAGCCTTTTAAAATTTCACAAGTGGAGGATATAATTTTTTCTAGGCTTTATATATACAGTTGAATAACTAAAAAATCATAAATTACTACATTAATACCATAGAATTCCACTATAATTTATCTAGCTTAGTAACTGAGATGTACTTTAGTCTAAAAAAATATTAATTACGAGCAGACTATAGACACACCCTACCTCGTTGAAATGTTGGTTCAAAAGAAAGAAATGTCACCAAGTCCATTAAAATGCCTGAGAAAGCCACAAGGGGGACATTCTGAGCTTCACATTGGTTATTCATGTCATATATAGATGTAAGTGTATAGAAGGGAGTGTTTCCAAAAAATGGAAAGAGCCGGGTGGGGTGTCACTGTGTTTGATTTATTACATGAGCAATATCTTAGCAAATTGAAAAGATAAGAGGTTCTTATTTTATATTCTAGGTTTTCAATATCAATAATTTGAGTTTCTAATTCGTTCCAAACTATAGACTTAGTATTTTGACTTCACAAACATCTAATTTGAACCAGTGCTGCATTCAACATACCATGTGACACACAAAAATCAATGTTTATGTTTTTTTAATATTTGCTTTTAAATTAAGAAATTGAGTAATATATAGTACTAAAATTGAATTATAATCTACAGTTTGATATCAAAGTTATTGACATAAATTCATGAAATAGTAGTTCAATAAAATTTTGAATGCGAGTCATCAAACGAGATGACATGGCCATTCACCCGTGACCCATTTTAGATTTTCTTTCTTCCCCTATATGATTTTATGAGTTACTAGTTACACATTTATACGAGCAATATTGCAAAGCCATAATTTTGCAACATGTACAAAAATCAAATTCTGCTCTGAAAAATTTGTTACTAGTTCATTTACTTGTCAGGACTAACAAGGAAATGTTTAGCCTCATTTTCATACTGTGGCTCCATGTTGTTTGGCTCGAACATCTAATGGAATTTTTTAAATCTATATATAGCTCAGTTAGAAAGCCAGTTAAAAATCAGTATTTTCAGGACATTTTATTTCTTATGTGTGATAATAATTTGTGTTTAAAATTGCATATTTGAAATATACATTAATAATATTTTAGGCAACCAACATTGTTCCAAAACATGTAGGCCTACAGCACTTCACTGTCAATGACAAAAGGCCTAAACTCCAGATGTAAGTACTAAATATTTTATGTATAATTTTTATTTATTATCAAAGATAAAAATTAGAAACTTATTAGTTTAGATATAAAAATATAAATTAAAAAAAATTAATTAAAAACTTTCTTGTGATGCTCAATTTCTTAGCACATATACATTGCAATGCATGATTTTAATTCAATTGTAGAGTTTTTTTACTTGATCATCTGTTTACACAAAATTGTCTGGCTGTGATAAATGGCTTTCAGTGTACTCTAAAAGGGTCTAAGTACAACTGTAAAGAAATAAAACTAAATGAACCCAGATGTGAAAAGTCTAAGCTTTGGCTATAAAAATAAATAGTGAGTAATTGTCTATTACAAAATGCAGTCATTCTACAAAGAAAAAAAAAAGGATAATTTAGATTTCATATTTGTTTGTTACATGATGGTTACAAGGTTGGTCAAATTGACAGACGCCAATACAAGTAATGTTAGGATATAAAAAATAACAGATAAAATATAAAGCTTTACGGGAAAAACTTTTAATATTCATTTAGGAGGTTCTAGAGGTCATGCAAATGAAATACAAATACTGTAAGACAACAAGAAGTATTTTTATTCTTAACCTTAAAATAGCCTTTCATTTAGATTTAGGCTTTGTAGATTCACAGACAAGTCTTTAGTAAAATTACTTTATTCAAAAACTTTATCCTTTATGCACAACAGACTTGTAACGTTTACTAAAAGCTTGTCAAATTTCATGAAGATACACTTATTAAGAGTTATAGTATGTATAGCTTCATGGTTACATGGTAGTTACAACGTTGATCAAAATGACCTTGACCAATTTCAGAGATAATAAACAATTATTCTTTTAAATTGTTGATATTTCTAAGTTTTATCAACTCATAAACTGATCTATTTGATGTTTAATTACCTTGGGACGATTGAGAATCGTGATCCTCGTGCCACTCCACAATGCACCAGTAACTATGCATCACCTCCCACAATGCTTTACAAAGATCTTTGAGACATGGTGTAAAGGTTTCAACTGTAATCAACTGTAAATACAGTTCATAAGTTTTACCAATAACTAAAAAACAATATTTCAATAATGTACAAGAGCACAAAATCAGACTATTGATTTCAAGATAAACTCAAAATTTTAGCTATTAAATAAATGAAATTGAGAAAAACAAAGCAGAACAAAAAGTTGATTAACAATATACAGATGTACTTTTTTTTCTTTTAACAAATATACTAAATTATTTTAACCTGATCTGCTTAATTGAGAAAATTTAGAAGGTTAAGAAATACAGATTATTAAAACTTAATATTAACCTTAGCAAGTTCAGAATAGTGGTGTTTCTGGAACTTTGTAGCAGATCCACCAGCACAAAGTTCAACATAACCAAGTACCAGAGTGAAAGCCTTGTTGTGAATTGCACTGGCAAAATGCATCAACAGTTGGTCCATAGCAGTCTGAAAGAAAAAGGTGCACATTCAGAAAAATCTAAAAATTTCACTTCCGTGTCACTTCTCTAAAATTGTATATATCGCTGCAATTCAACAGTAGGTTTAAACTCTGTATAGTAATATAAAACCTTTGATATTTTACTAAAACCCTCTGTATACCATGTAAGTTTCCACCTTATTTATATTACCTGGGTGCCAGCCTAAAACAATAGTATTGTGTTGAATTGTATATATATATATATATATATATATATATTTAGGAAACTGATAACAAAGAGCCTTTCAATACCTTAAAAAACAATTTTATTTACAAACATTATTACAATTGATCCATTTACCTAGTGTACAACAACATTAATGACACGTAAGTATACTAATGAGTTTAAGATACATTTCAATATGAGAAACAGTTATCTATTCACTATATATCTTAAAATCATCTATGTCAAGACAAATACTGTGAAGTAATTCTTAAATATCAAAACGGAAATATATTTAACAAAAAATTTATTATCAAAAATATTGTAAGCTGTTTAAAATCAATATATTTTTATGCTAACTGTGAGTAAAAGTGGAAAGGACATGTGCTCATGAAACTACTGCATTTATTCATCTAACTATTTTTCCTTATCAACAATGAAGGATTTGAAGTTCAAATGCATAATTTTCCTACAACTTGGAAGATAAAAAATCATAATGTGGACTAACGCAGGTAACCAAATAGACTGATGGGTAACAAAGCATATTTTTAAATCTTGAATTTATGATTATTTACAAACATTACTAAAAATGCAGAGTTTAAAACTGACTAATCATTTATTGTTTTTGACACTTTAAAATTAATGTGACAAAATTTGCTAAGAAAAATCTACCTGATAAAATAACAAATACTTATAATTAGTTAGTACAGGCAAGGTACTTTTTGAAACAGAAAATTTTGTTTAATTGATCATACATTTATATCTTATGTTAAAATAGGAATGTTGAGATGGTATTGTAAGTAGCAATGTCCAATGATGTCTATACCATTCACTGGTCACAATTTCACATACCTTGTTACTAATTAGTTGGAAACACAACTGTTGTATGTTTCATCTGAAGGTTAAAAGATGTTGTTGAACACAACATAGTTAGGCTTAAAAAGGAATTGACTCATTCTTACACTGAAACCCTGAACATTAATAATACTATTAGTAACTCATACATTTGAAGGCTACTAGTTGTAAAAAACAAAATTAAAGTAAGAGAGTCTAGAATTACAAATAGTATATCAGTAAATATGGTAAGAAAAAAGTTGCAAGTAGAAATTGACTAGACAGACCATACTTGTGCAGATGACATGCTTTTATCTATTGTGATGTGTGGATGTAAGTCTTTTATCTACTTTGATGTGTGGATGTAAGTCTTTTATATAGTGTGATGTGTGGATGTAAGTATTTTATCTACTTTGATGTGTGGATGTAAGTCTTTTATCTATTGTAATGTGTGGATGTAAGTCTTATCTACTTTGATGTGTGGATGTAAGTCTTTTATCTAGTGGGATGTGTGGATATAAGTATTTTATCTACTGTGATGTGTGGATGCAAGTCTTTTATCTATTGTGATGTGTGGATGTGCCTTTTATCTACTTTGATGTGTGGATGTAAGTCTTTTATCTAGTGTGATGTGTGAATATAAGTATTTTATCTACTTTGATGTGTGGATGTAAGTCTTTTATCTACTTTGATGTGTGGATGTAAGTTTTATCTAGTGTGATGTGTGGATATAAGTATTTTATCTACTGTGATGTGTGGATGTAAGTCTTTTATCTACTTTGATGCGTGGATGCAAGTCTTTTATATAGTGTGATGTGTGGATAAAAGTATTTTATCTACTTTGATGTGTGGATGTAAGTCTTTTATCTAGTGTGATGTGTGGATATAAGTATTTTATCTACTTTGATGTGTGGATGTAAGTCTTTTATCTACTTTGATGTGTGGATGTAAGTCTTTTATCTACTTTGATGTGTGGATGTAAGTCTTTTATCTACTTTGATGTGTGGATGTAAGTCTTTTATCTAGTGTGATGTGTGGATATAAGTATTTTATCTACTGTGATGTGTGGATCTTAGGTTTTTATCTATTGTGATGTGTGGATATTAGGCTTTTATCTATTGTGATATGTGGATGTAATGATCCTTCTGGGAGATTTTCATGAAATACATCAGACACACACATAATTGTATTAGAGGAATTTCAAACTGAAATAAATATATTGTAGACTTGCATAGCAGTAATAAGTCATACATAGACTCAGTAAAAAATGGGGAAAAGTATAACAAACAGTAAGAGCGACTTGCCAGTGCATGTTTCCTAAAAATAATCATTATCTGACCAAATACTGTACTATTATTTCCTTTAGAAAACAATCAGAAGTTTCTCTTTGATGCTGAAGTTTCAACTGAGTGGCTAAGATATCACAAAATATGCTTTTACGGGAATAATTAACATTGCTACATAAAACATGCAAACTGCTTCAAACCCTAACATCTTGATAGCCATATTTCTTCATCCTTAAAAAGTAGCTCATATATAGATATCTGTCAAGCCAATGAAATGTATGTCTTTCTATGAATAAAAACAACAGCAAATAAAAACAAAAAAACCAATAACCTTCTATAATCATATATTATCAAGGGAATTATTCAAGAGAAACCACAAGGCACTACACCTTGTTCTCAATGACCCTTTATTTGTTATCTGTCAATTTTTCATGTACACCAGTCCAGATAACCTTGCCATGAGAGTTCTCCATATAAAGGCCCTAGTGTGAAAAGTTTGAAAATCTATACTGGTTTCAAACTTACCTGTGTCTTCCCCAGTAATCTGTATGCAGCTTGTAGTTTTTCATAGTGTGTAGTGTTAAAGTTGGTGCAGACTTTTGACAGAGCAACATCAAGCTTTTCTTCCATCATTTCTAATGTGTCTTGGAGCTTAGAGCTCAATTCACTAACAAAATAAGAAATTTACCTAATATAGAGGAAAAAAGTATACACATACTAAAATTATATTATAAACTGTAAAAAAAGCTGTGATATTTTGAGCCAATTCATCTTCATAATTAAAAATTAAGTACAGCATTGTACTCTCTCTCTTTGGTATAGATAATGGACTACCAACATAATGAAAATTTATAAATTTGTAAAGTATTTGTATAAAGGAATAGAACACCAATCTTAAAACATAAAATATTTTTGAAATAAGCAAAAGATAGATACACACATTTACAAATGAACTTCACTAAACAATGTCATTTACTAAAATTTCACTTCTCAATTTGCCAAAGAAGCCAAAAAAAATTCTGAAAGTGGCAAGTAAATTTTTAAAAATACTTCACTCTTTCCCAATTACCTTGAATACATAAATATACTGTAAATATTTATTGTAAACAATAAATCTAAAAAAAAAGCAAGAAATTATGCAAAATTGGTTTAATGAATAAAAAAAAAATATAAAAAATAAGCAGTAATGCTACAAAACCATAAACACACACATATAAATATGTATCTATTTTCTGGAGAAAAATCAAAATCACAAAGATGGTTTAGCCAACAAATGCAAGATTTTTACCAGTAGCTTCCATATCGCATGTTAAAAAGTCAATTACGATACATACAATTTTAAGAAATTGGAAAGGTATTATTAAGATTGTAATACAGAGGTTAGACTGAGGCAGCAATTTGTTTTGATCATCAAGATTTATATGTTTAAACAATATGCATAGCAACAAGAAGTCCGAATAATGTTTTTATAGCTGTTTTTAACAAATGAAGAAGTCTAATCCTATGTCATTTTGTACATAAAGGATGTATTCAGTCACCCTGAACTCCATCAGTAATGTACAAGTTAAACATGCTTTTCAAAAACAACAAATGAAAAACAAAAGCAAAAAAATAATAATAATTACCAATAAAGTATTTACAATTTCTAATAACATTTTAATAAATATCTAGCCACTCACTGGAACTAACAAATAGAAGCTGCTGGATTAAACACAAAAACTCCGTAAGAGTTTAATAACATACTAGAAGAAATCAAAGAGATATTCATACAAAACTTATGTAAATAAATGTTTATCAACTGGACAATTATATATGTGTACATCAATAAATCTTTTGTAGAAAATTATTTTTGTTGACTATTATTTCAATTTTGGAATAATCCACCTGGAGTTACACATTAAAATAAGCACTTATAGAAATTCTGGTTGATTGATTTTTTGGTAGAAAATAAATACTAAAAAGCAATGTTTGGTCAACAAATTAGTGTTTAGAAGTTCATTCTGGGCAAGAAATAGATTGAATAGTAAAATAAACTCTACCTAATACACTTGTAATGCCTGAACTGTATTGCAGCTTTTTGACATTCCAGACAGAGCTGAATTGCGCCTGGGTAATCTTCTTCCTACAGAATAGTTATATTTATTGACATATGTAAAAACTTTTTTGACAGAAATAAGATTACATTCACTAAAATCAAAAACAAAGATGTAACAATATAAATTAATTTCTAACCCATAAATCTAAAAGGTATTAAAAAAAGGGTTTTGGCTAACAATTCAAACTTTTGGAAGTATTTTATCATTTTTTTTAACAAGCACATAACTTAATGGACAAAAATTCATTTGCCCTACTAGTGTGCCCTTCCTTTACAATAATGCCTGTATCTGTTTTTTAGTTCTTAATATTACTATATTCTTAAAATGCACAAAACATTGTACACTTTGTCTTCTTAATATGCAAGTTTCTAAGCCTTTTTTTAGCTTTAACTGAGCCTTGAAACTGTGTATAAGGAAACACTGGAATAACAGATGTTCAGTTGTTGTTGTTTTTTTGTATTGAAGGCTCTTATTCAGAAATAGCACAATCAAATCGATGTATCTACAAGAGAAAGGTCCAGATTAATCTATTACCAGGACAAAGTGGATAAGTCTATGCAAGTTAAAAGAGAACTTAATTAAATGACTAAGATGACAATCAACAAAAAAAGGAATAAAATGTAATCCTGAGTCCTTAATCTACTGAATCTTAAAGACGCAATATTATACACACATTTCTTGGCTGTACATAAAATCAAAGAATTTCAGAATGAATGTTGTTCAACAAGATGTGAGAATAAAAACTTGTGTGAAAGATAATGCACAATAAATTGACATATCTAAATGAAAATTATAAAAAGTTTTCATTTAGATGTGTCAATTTATTCTTTATTATCTTTTATCCATTCAAATCAAAAGTTAACTTGTTAGAAATACAAAATGTAAACCTAGAAAGCACGAAAAAAGAACCAGGAACCCTGTGGTGTAAGTGTTGGCACATCATAAACTTAAAAAAAAATGAGAGCAATGATAAGCATTAGACAAGTCAAAAATATTTGAAGAAACGTAAAAAACAAAGATCAGAAGGGAAATTTCAGTAACTAAAGATGTAGTTACTGATGATCCATAATTTATGAAACTATGGTCCAGTTCACTTGTGATCAGGGTTACTGATAAGGAGTGTAATTCTCCAAAACTAGTATAACCCAGTAACGCATGTTGATCAAAGTATAGATTGAACTGGACCTACCTTGAACTAAAACTTTGAGATTAAACAACTTTCGGAATACTAAGATTATTTATTATACCTGCTATTGTGCAGCTATATAAGGTGAAGAACTGAATAGTGGCCAATGACTCTTTATTTTCACTCCACCTATCAGGTGTATAGGTTTTTCTCAAAGCAACTATAAAGTACATTCACACCAACAATATGTTTGATACTTTTCACTATGATATAGGTCCAGCTTCTCTCTCTTTGGTTAACTTGTGTTCAGAGTTACTGATGAGGAGTGGAATTCTCTGAAACTAGTATAAACCAATACCACACATTGATCAAAGAGTAGATTGAACTGGACCTCCCTTGAACGTAGACTTTGAGATTAAACAACTTTTGGAATACTAAGTTTATTCATTATTTATTACAGCTAGAAATGCAAAAACTTTACAGTAATATATGCAAAATGACAAAATATATATACATCATAATAATTTTTGGTTGTGACTATCGGGTATAGTTATCACCTTAGTACCCTTTAGGCATTTCCTTAAAGTTTAATGTATTTAAATATGTTTAAATTTACAAATATCATCTTACCTCTAAGAGTTCTCTTAGTCTTACATCCGTTTCTTGCTAGAATAAAAAAAAATGCAGAAAAAAAAATCCTTTCTATAAGCAAATTCTTTCTTAAGCTGTAAGAATAAAAAATAAAAACAGCTAAAGCTTAATTAACAATTTCACATTATTTTACTATGTTTGTTCAGATTTTATTCGCTACACAAAATTTTTGTTTGGAAGAAACATAGCTACAAAACATTAATTTCCAGTAGAAGTTGTAGTTATATATTTGCTTCATAAATTAAACCTTAATGGAAGTATCACAACAAATATCAGGGGTGGTGCCAGCCTCTTCTCAGTGAGGAGGCTGATGGGCTAGACAAAATTTAGGGGGGGGACTACACTCTACATCTTGTGAACACACATACTGTAGCACTTAGAAAGTAAACTAGCATTACCAGCAAGCACTTTTCATTGATTGTGTGGGCTACAAGGGAGGCTAAGGCACATTTTGGAATACCTACAGCTCCAGCATGACTGCCCTTTCCCCTACACCACCCCTAATAAAAATTAATTAGCAAATACTGGAACTAAAATATTTGCCAAAACATTCTTTTAAGCAACTACTCTTATGTGTAAATTCACTTTATAAAACATGCCTACTGGATATCATTATAACACGGTAATGTAATAGTCGTGTGTCATCTTTTAGGAAAAAAACGTCAGGTAGAAAACAAATTTTAATATATATTAACAAAAAACATAAAACTTAGCCATACATAATATTATACAATTCAGACTACGTATCATTACAGTTGGATAGCAATAGATAAATACTTTGCTGTTGAATACTGCAGCCATCATACTAAGTAGAATAACATTACATAATTCAGACTATGTATCATTACACTCTGAGAGCAACAGATAAATAATTGGATGTTAAATATTGCAGCCATCATACTAAGTAGAATAATATTATACAGTTCAAGTTATGTATAATCACAGCTTAATAGCAACAAATAAACAGTAGGATGTTAATTATTGTAACTACCACACTAAGTAGAAATAAGTTAAAGAACCTCTTATTTCAAACTTTTCAGAATAGAAATAACTAAAGCTAATACAGGAAGAAGAATTTATATGTTACTGTTCCTGTGAAAAGAACAACAGAACACAAACTATATATCAGAATTATTACACTTATTTTTGTCACAGAACTTTATTACAACACTCCATTTCACATTGCTTTGCATAACAAATGTTTTAGAATTCAATCCTGAGTTTGCACTATATCCACCAAGTTTACCAGAAGAAGAAATTAAAAAAAAAAACATGTTTTTTCAGTAGAAGCTGAAAGCTGAGTAATTATTTTTCAACTGAGCAGGGCATTACTTTTGTGAAGGAATCAAACAGAAGGTTTATTTGGATACAAATTAATTTTTTTTTTTTCATATAACACATTTACTTACAAATCACCCATCTTTCAGCTTATAAATTGTAGACAAATATCAGAATATTTGGATATCCTAGCGACTATTTCTTGTAAAATCCCACAAGAATTTGTTTTTTATCTATATAAAATATTAAACAATGTTCCCAATTCATATATTTTGAAACATGTATGTATCACTCAAGAAGCCTTCTTACCATGGTTTTAATTGAATGCAGAAATTTTAGGAGACCCAAAAGTCGTTCTCTTTTCCTGAAACTTGCAAGAATCCCTAAACTAGCAGTGGTAAAATCCTTTCTGGCTCTTGCTAGGTGGCTAGAAGTTTAATTACAAAATACCACTACAGACAGAATGTTACATGTATAGATACCTAAATAGCAATTATTTATTTCTTTAAAATTATAACACTAAGCCTGTTTAACAGGTTTTGATTTACTTTCAATTCTTCTTTGAAATTATAAAGACATAGATTTCTAGCTCATAATTAAACGCTGATGAAATACACATAAATATCAAACACACTGAACAAAACACCCATCAAAAAGCTACACATGAACAAAAACCTGGCTTGGATAAACAGATGACACCACCAAAAACTTCCTAATAAATATCAAGAAGTAAAATCCACTTACTTAAGTTACAATGAAAGTGAAAACAAATCTTGATACAATGGTCTCAAGAAGAGGCAGGTTATATTTTTCAAATTATTCTAAACTATTTCTATCACACTTCTTACACTACAGAATCAATAATGTGTACAATTCAAAATAAGCAAAGACATCAACTCATCTCAAACAGTGAGTGCTCGTTGCATAATAGTAGCTATGATGTAATAGTTCTATAAAACAATAAAAAGGACAAAGTAAACTACTACTGCAAAAATGACTATTATATTTCTTCAGATTACCTTGAAATATTCAGAGAAATTACAACAACTATTAAGTTATTAAAAAGTGTCAACAGCACCATAAAATCATGGTATACCAAAGCGACATTGAAACTTTAAAAATGTAACAGTGCAATATGTTCCATCACATGTTTATGTAGCCACTAATACATGGCCAACAGATAAATGAACAAATGAAAAAGATATACCATAATATAAATCCAGGATGAATAACCAAACATAAAACTTTACAACACTGATCAACAAACAACAGCTTTACATACCAAGATAAAAAAACTGCCATTATCTATAGAAGATAAAAATGAAAAACAAATAAGCATTCCACATCCACTTAAAAAATACATGTTTGTATAGTTGAAATAAAATATCAGCTACATCCAGTTTCCATATCTAAAATGCAGTACATGTGAGATATTTTTTAAATGAACACAGCTGGACAGCAGTCCAGTCTAGTTAGTAACAAAGTGGACTACTGTTTGAGAAGCCTTGAGAATACATCTTAGTAAAACAGGACAATAAACAGCTACAACAGCAAACTTAGAACGAAAAATATAATGTAGTTAGTAGGTAATAACTGTGTGCATGTGTATGTACATATATACATATAACATCAATTTGGTTTTGTTGAAAAACAGCACTTAAGGTGAAAAACATATTATAAGCCTTCTATAGACGTTAGAATGATTCTAACACTTTAATTTGTTATATATAATTCACCCAAAGTAGATATGACCCCCCCCTCCCAAGTTTTGGGAAAATGAATCCACCAGTCACAGAAAGCTATGGTAAAAATATTAAAATCCATTTAATAAAAGATTTATACTCAAAATATTTGTTACAGTTAGTTTTTATACCTTCTGCCTTGAGAACATATGACTCCAGCTTGTTCTAGATTCTTCTGAAGTTCTGTGACTCTATGCAGCTCCTGTGTGTAGGCAGTCTGGTTCTGAAGTATGAGATCTGAAACTTTCTTAGAAACCTAAGAGTTGTTTGAAAACAGCAATGATGAGAAAAATCACAAGGTCGGACTGAGAATAACTTAAATATAAACAGTTTCTTATCTTCAAATAATATTGCATAAATATTTACATACACTAAAGTCAACTAGTAACAGGTAGATCAGGTTTTGCACTACAATGTTCAAACACATTTAGTGGTGTTATCAGAAAGGATTTAAAGTAAGAGAACAAATCCACTACAATATATAAAAATGACCTAAGCACATATTTTCTTTCACAATAAATATGAACTAAATTAGCTTTGTGCATGTTACAATATTGTTAAATGATTATCTTTTAGGAGAATAAACATTATTTTCAGGGTTATAAATTTAATTATGTTGAGGGTCAAGGGAGCAACTCACTAAAAGAAAATCTGCCCTTCAGTTATTTTTGAAACTTGCCCTAGTAAACATATGCATGTACATTTCTTAGAACCACTAGCAAGGTCTTAAATGTTTTAACCTCAGCTCTATACACTTAGATATTAAATATTTATGTATTATGTAACTAAAAATGAGTATTTGTTAATCCAAAACTGTGATTTGTTAATGATGTTTCTGAATATTTACCAAGGTTCCACATACTGTTTTAACATTATCCATCTATGTATTTACACATGTACCTTTCTCTATAACTATACCAAGATACTAGGGAGCAGTTAAGAGGTATTTTGAATAACAATATGTAAAAGATGGGTCAGCATTATTTTCATTTCTTTTCACATAATTATATCTGTTATTGGCATTTTACATGAACTGTTTACTATTCTGTCACCAACCATCAAAGACCAGCTGTAACGTTCTTGGTTTACAAGTTTAAGAAGCCACAAACTAAATCCTTCTTGAGTCTTACTACTTTTGAACCAAATTTCAGCTGATAGATTTTATGAATGTAGGTAACTGGCAACAAACAAAAATAATATCAAATACTTAGAACTGGTTATGTGCTTAATCTCAAGGTATTTTTGTATATGTTCAAGTTAATTTTGATTTAAAGCTTACCATTGACTCTATAAATGTCATACCAAACTTAATCAATATTTTAAATTATTATATATAGATCACACTACTACAACCAAGTGTAAAACAGCCACAGTTTATTTTCAAGTGTACAAAACAAACTGAGCTATAATCCAGGAAATACGTTAAACCCTCAGATATTTTAAATACAGAAAATGCACTGTGATTACACACACTGTACTATGCATAATGTGTTGCACCCTGCCTATGATATTAAGATTTTCTTCACTTGCATTTCTAAGCTTCACACAAGCAATATAAGCAAAATGTACGTAAACACAAATCAAATTCAGCATTCTCTCATGAATGCAACCAATAGTGATCATTAACCTTTACCATCTCCACACGTATATTTATGCATGGCAGACATTACTTCCACCTGTATATTTATGTATGCTAGACATCATCTCCATCCACATATGTATATGTCAAATGTCTCACAAGTCATTTAAATGCCTCGTGCATGGTTTGTTGTGGTGAAATTATTGCTACAGTAATGGAAAAAAAAAACCTTCCATGGATGATAAGGGGTTAATAGTGGTCTTATCAAACAATGTTAACATGTTGGCTGTGCAGATTTTATGATCAAAATTTCCTGGTGATAGTTACTTTTAGCACTGAAATCACCTTTCTTAGTCTCATTAGTTCATCTACCAAACATCTTTGAAGGCCAACTAACTTTATAAAATAACCATGTATATGTACAAGTATTTATATCTTTCATCATTCTACTTTGTGCTCTTGCAATTTTTAAGACACTACAATCTTAAATTTCAAATCATCAGATACTCACTACATACTGCTGCTTCTGAAGATACTCTTTATCTCTGATGATCTGATTCAGATCAAGCTCAGCAGGGATTTTCTGTGAATACAAACAAATAACATACACTTTATACCTTTACTGATCTAGTTCTAAACAATGTTTGCATATGTTAAGAAAAAATTATTCATTGTATTCTCTATCTTCAGTAAACTTATTTAGACTACCATATGCATGAAGCATCTGTGCACAAAAGAAAATACCACAGGTATGTTATATACCTTGAATATTACTCAGAAAACTGCTCTACATGAGAATACGGACAATCAGTGACTACATTCTGACATCTTATAATGAAGTTCAGGGCTAAATCAATCCAAGAACAGAGTTCTGAGTTCCTACATATATCACTTCTAAACTAGAATTAAAGAAGTTTTTTCTAACAAACAGACATAAATTATCATATTTCTTACAGAAAAAATTAGATCTAGAATATTTTTGATTTGTAATGCCAATTAAGTTATTTTTAAAATGTCCTTCAAGGAGATACCTCTTGATGAATTCTTTGCTGTGACTTGACTTATTCTGTCACTCATTTACATGTGAATGTGTGATTCTGACTACTTAAGTTTTTCAATCACATCTTCAATTCTTGTTAAGTAATGCGACTTAAATAGCCTTTCTCAAACAGAACAAAAAATTAAAACTATGATTCAAATAAAAGTTTAAGGATATTAAAAGAGTGATTTCTATTTCCTGAACATTCCACAAATGTAACTAACTTGAATTGAGGAGAGTGATTTCTATTTCCTGAACATTCCACAAATGTAACTAACTTGAATTGAGAAAAACTTATTTTGTCAATCTATGTGTACAATTGTAGGATCAGAAAACAATTAAATATCAAGACAAAAGCTAAGATAAAATACTGTAGTAAGGAAAGGAATGTCCAGCAATGGTTAGAACAATAGGATTTCAACGGTGGTGTAACAGCTACCAAGTAAGGTACATAAAACAGGATTAAAAGATTATCAAATGGTTCAGTTCAACTGAAAAAATGTGAATATTATCCATGACATATAAAATTTGTAAGACAATACACAAGAGTATTTACCAAATCATATAAGGTACGTCATAAATATCATTGGATACTGATATAAGTAACTAGTAGATAGATTATAAAGGAAATAGTTTTACAAATGACTCTTCCCAATTCCAAAAATGTTAAAAGAGAAGATGATTGAATTATAAATGTGAGAGAGCAATGAATTTGAAAAACTTTACAGACAAACTATCTTTTACAACACAATCCAGAGTAAAACATGTCTTAACCTTTTTGCAACAGGCTTGTGTATTTTACAGGATCTCATAACCACCATGAAGGTATACTTATTATAACTCTGAAAGTACTCAGTTTTTTATTCATGAAATTTGTCAAACTTTAGTAAATATTACAAATCTTTTGTACACAAAAAATCACTTTTTAATTATGTATTTGTTATAAAAATTTGTCCAAGAATATAAGAAGTCAGAGTGTTGACTGCCCCATGCCAAGTGATTAAGTGATTTTCATGTTAAGACTGAAAATACTTTTCTTTATCTGAAACTTGTGAAATTTCATTTGCATAATCTCTAAATAAATATCAAATGATTTTTTTCAGTAAAACTTTATATTTTATCTGTTATTTTCTCTACCCTAACTTTTTATCCATTTGGTTCATTTAATGACTTCACAACCAACTTAAAAAATACAAATCTAAATTACCCTTTTTCTTTCTAGAATAATTGTAAATAGTAACATAGAACTACAATTGTTTATAATAAATAGCTTAAAGCTCATAACAGTATGCATCTGTTTATACTTAACTTTATTGCTCTTTGAACTGATAATCCCCCCACACAAGTTGTAAATCACTCGGTGAACATGCAGCTCAAGTTGCCATATTGAATTACGTAACACATAAGCTGCTGGTGAGCATGCCTCATGAACATTTTTTTTACTACTTTATGTAATCTAACTTAATAAGTTTCTAATTTTTAAATTCTTGGTACTTTATAACAATAAATGAAGAATACACTTGAAAAACAATAAATATAGTACTTACCTGGGTCCTCTTGTTTTTTTGCTGTCAACTGTCGATGAAGCTTAAGCCTACTTTTTTATATTAATGGTACTACTAAAGTAAATAAATTTTACTTAATTAAATAATGCACCTAAAAACACAGAATAATAACACACACAAAGCAAACAATGTCCTATAACTACCATAATTTGTCTGGCTTTCTAAATATGCGATAAGATCCTTTAAAAACTCAGCTAAGCTTGTCTATGTGAATACCATGGGAAAAGTTTTTAACTGGAGGTGAAACAGACAATTCTCTCTACAGAAAACAATGAAAAATAATAATTTGATAGATTAAAACTTTGTCTTTTTATTGGTTATACATGAAAGGTGGGTGCAGAAAGTGGGTCAGTTTATGGCTTCACAAACAAATAAGACTAAAGGCTATAAAAATTATGCTTTGCCTGAGTAATGTTTATATTATAATGAGTAACTCAAGTTAAATTCTGTACCTCTCAGAGTAGTGGTAAATAAATTAGATAAGAGGGAATACTTAAAGAGCAAATGTCACAATTCTCATACTAAGGGAGAATAAGGATTTTTAAAAGTATTTCTTTATAAAACTAAGAACTTAAAACTTGTATGAAATTCTATTTGTCAACTACATTTTGATGCCAAGTTTATTTGTGTACAGTGAGAATTAAATAGTTTAATTAAATTTTGAATATACCTCTATAAAATGTTGTGAGGTGCACACTTTTACCTACCCATTGTGAATGGGTTGATATGAGGACAGAACATGAATTAGTTGTTCATATTGAAATTTAAATGTTTAGGCTTACTGTATATATAAAGAGGATGAAGCTATACAGTAACAAAAACTCAAGGTATTTATCTAAATTTGAGATTTTATCTAGAAGTAAATCACAAGGATATAAAATTGACTCTAGATAGTCCTGTTTTTTTTATATCAAAAGCAACTTTACAGCATTTTTTAATGATAAGAGCAATATCATGAAAGCAGCTAATACTGAGGAAGTAAAAAAAAAAATACCAGCATGCCAATTCTGGTTTTTGCTTATTAGTCAAACAATACTGAACTAAAATTCGATGACGAGGAACCCACTTTGAGACTAATAATGGCTGGAGGTACCTGATGATGACAAAACCTTGTCGAAACGTTGTA